TATGACTGTGTATTGGTAGATATGCTTTAATGAGCCTGAACAATGACTTAATCTAGTTGTACAGCTACGCTTAACGTCACGCGGGGGTTGGACTATGACTGTGTATTGGAAGTTACGCTTTAATGAGCCTGAACAATGACTTAATCTAGTTGTACAGTTACGCTTAACGTCACGCGGGGTTTGGACCATCACTGTGTATGGGTTCAGTCTCCGTAGCATCCAACCCTTCCGAATTTTTCTTCTTCAAAAGAAACTCGTTCCGTTCGTGCTCTAAACGTTTTCGGCGCCTGTGGCTCAGCTCCGCGCGGAGTATCTCCAATCGAGTGGGGTGCTGCAAGGGTGTGTACCGTTTAAACAGGTCACAAAAGTGGACCACATGTACCTGAAATGAAAGGCGAATGACAATGCACCTGACCAGAGTATCGTTCGTTTTGTGTGTAGTGTCGAGGTGTGTTACTAGCGCATGCATGCACACAGTAACGCACTATGGACGGCGTGCGCGAATAAACAAGCATGGTCTAGATATTTACACATCGCATTTACTTGGGTGATAATCCCCCTAGTAGTGTTCTTTCATGTTTGAACAAGCCCTATGCGCGATACGTCTGACGACCGCGTGTATTGGCCACAGTCAGCAACCACCAACTGGACCAGCAGCAAAATACATGGGACAATCAACGTGTGACATCAACGGGTAACACCAGCGCTTGACACTCGTGCTCATAGTGGGCAGCTTATTCGTTGTTAAAGGCCTATACACAATACGTAGCTGTGCATCGCGTTGGATTGCTTTGAAACAATCTTAGAGAAGGAAGAGGTCCCCATTTGTATTCGTATTGAAGTTACGCATTGTTCTATAAGGCGTGCTGAACCCTTAAATGTACAGCCCATATTACACGTGTAGGGCTGCATGTCAAAAGAGCGACTCCATCAATACCCTCCCTTCCCTATCACTGATGGCGACAACAGATAGAGAATGTGACGCACACCCCACCGACATAACTCACTGTCTTGCACAACCGATAATGGCCCAGAGAATGCGACACACACACCCACCGACATAACCCACTGACTTACATAACTAATAATAGCCCAGAAAATGCGAAACACACACCCACCGACATAACCCACAGACTTGCACAGCTGACAATAGCCCAGAGAATGCGACACACACACCCACCGACATAACCCACTGACTTGCACAACTGATAATAGTCCAGAGAATGCGCCGCACACCCCACCGACACAACCCACTGTCTTGCACAACTGATAATAGCCCAGAGAATGCGACACACACCCCACCGACATAACCCACTGTCTTGCACAACTGGTAATGG